GCCCCCCTGGGACGCTTCCGGTACGTGCTATAGTGCTATGTTTAGGTGGCAGGTGAAGTAGGCCACTGTTTGAGTTTGGAAGGGGGGGGCATGAAACATGAAATTTAGGCGAGGGTTCAAGGCTTCAATGATGAGCATCACGGGAAGTCAGAAACCAGGCATATCAGATACACATGCCTTTGAGCTTCCTTCGGCATCTCAGTGCATATGGCTGACACTTCACTCGACAAAGATGCTCAAACAAACATACATAAACCAGGTGTATCTGATACGCCTGGTTTGTGACTTCCCGTGATGCTCATGATGCTGCGTTGCTTTTCTTCAGTCCCTCGTTACATATACATGACGATCCAACAGCAGATTCAACAAGCTCACATGTTCATGACATCGACATCGATAGAAGAAACCAAACAAATCATGCAAGCAGCTTTGTTTTGCCTCTGGGACACCTCTTGGGCACCTCTTATGGCATCCACACTGGTTCAACTCCTCCGTGGAGGTTTTGGGATACGGATGGATACGGTGCAACAGATTCAACAAGCTCACAGGTTCGTGAACACATCGGATGCATCGAACAGTGTGGCAAAGTCCAGCCACGCTTCCTTAATTATCGGGGACTTCAATTCTAAGGTTGGCTGTGTCATTGCTGTTTGTATGTCTTACATCTTCACAACGTTTTACCTCATGAGCATTTGCCTCACTCCGCTTGATGTCCCACCAGTCCGGATGCACCCCTGCTAGCTTTCGTCACCTACCCTCGGCCTCAAGTATCATTGTTTAAAAATGATAAGCTTCCAATCAGCACAGACGTTCGTCGCATCCGAATCATTGTAATTGTTTGAATTGTCCACGCCCAGGCCAGTTCATGAGAGGATGCGTTTTCCATCATTTTTCAGTCATCCACTTTGGTTTATTTGCATGTACGCTGCACAAGTTCAAGGATTTCATGATTTCAGAATAGAAAGCTAGAGATTGCTGAACTGACATGCATTTTGAAGGCACGTTGTTATCCAGAGACACCCAAAACTTCTGTTGATTGAAGCCATAAGCAGCAATATCTAAGGGTGCAAGTAACCTAGAGTTGTTCACGTATCCACACTATCGGGAGCATCAAGCCATCAACACTTGCAGTATATGGCTGTGCCGATCTATGCGATACCTGCGCAGGTATCCCATGGAATTCTGCTTGAATGTGCTTGAATACTCTGTATAGTTATAGTTACTGTGTTGTTGTGTATTTGTTGGTTTTGGTGGTCTTTTATTGTTTATCTCCAATTTGCTGTTTGCACACAGTTTTTTCAGAACGGGTGCTCCTGACAGAGGTGTTTCTTGCAGAAAATGTGCAAACACATGTGTGTTTTACAGTGGTTTTTGGCTGAAACATCACCAACACAGGTTTTGGAGCCAAATTTTGTTTCAATGCTTTGTTGTTAATGCAAAGTATGAACAAAAACACTGTGTTTCACACTGGTTTTTGGCTGAAACCTCAGCGTTTTGCTTCAATTGTTCAGACCAGGTCGAGAAAGGTTTAGAGGGAATACAAAAAACAACAAAATACAAAACCAAAAAACAAAAAACAACATCTCAACAACAAATACAAAAAAACACAAAAGAACAAAACACCTAAAGCAAAAACAACAATGTTCGAGACAAAATGACGGTACTATAGGATTTGGATCTGTTCTTTGTTTTGCATTCATTTTGTCTCAAACATTGTTTTGTTGTAGTCCCTCTAAACCTTTGCCGGCCTGGTCTGAACAATTGAAGCAATACAATAGCTCAAAACCTAGGTTTTGTGAGGCGCAGTCTCAAAAGGCTTTTCAATTGCTTCAGTAGGGTTTTGTATGTCTTGCTGAACTTTTTCCCCAAACAGTGCAGCTTGTGGACCTGGAGGCAAAACCAGTCTACTGTTAGGGGTTCTCAATTCTTTCTTAAGATGTGTCCGCCCTTTCTGTCACTGCTGGTGTCCGCCCATTTCCGCTGGCCATGCAGCATTTCAATTCGTTTGTCTTTAAAGTGATTTCTTTACTTTTGTCTCCCAGGTTCGGTGCCTGCACTGCTGG